AATAAGACAAGATGACCCGGGGTTGGCACTGGATCAAGCTCATCTCCCAACAACGCACCTTTATCGGCCTACATGAGATTGGGATTGAAGTCGCTATTGGTAACTCGGGCTACCTCTTGGTACCCGGACTAAAAACCACTCGACTAAGACAATCTCGATTACTCGTAGATGACCAAGTTGCATTTTATAGACAAGCTTAGGGGCTTATGTCAATGCCATACCTCCGGGTACCCTGACTTCCATATTGCCGACTACCTACTTCGGATAAGAGACGACCCGAAGGCCCACAACAACCCTATTCAAGGAAGGATATCTCCGGCTTGCACCAAGACTCTGACTAGGGCACGACTTCTTAGCTTCTAGGGCAAGTTGATCCCGGATATAAATAGCTAGCAATATCCCCTATTGTAAGGATTGACTCTCTCATAGGCATAGCTACATTGTAATCGCAATCTCGATGAATACAAGCAATACAAGAGTAGCAACTGGATATACGGCTTTTACTCGCTTCCCGGAGGCCCCAACCATTATAAATCTCGTCTCCATCTATGATTGTTCTTCGTACCAAGCGGGGTTCCCCAAGAACCAAATATCTGCTGGTAAAAAATACCAACAATAAGATTGCACCGAATAGTGATCTAATATAGATTCCCATAGGACTAGAAAATATTAAGCTTGTTTTTAGGTCATTATTTCATCTAACGGGTCATATGTAACATCAACGCATAAACAAGACCTAGGAACCTCTGTGGTGTCCCTTAGAGAGGTATAAAAATTTCATAAGGTATTCCAAGCTTGGTCTACATCTCTTATGGACGATGATATCACATCACTAGATTAAGTTGATCGTAACCTAGGTTGGATGATGCGCTATAGGGAAAGATGGGTCAAGTACTTGTGAGCATGCTGGTTGTTATTGTGGATGCTCACAAGATGTGCATGAATGAAGGGAAAGAGCATCTGAAAACACTTAGGTTCCTAGTGTGGAAGCACTAAAGGATAGAATGCTAAATGCTCTTCATACATGAACGTATCCATGAATTAGGAGGAATATTAACTGAAGAAGCTTGTGGTTGCTGGTGTCAAAACTATACAACATGTTATTGACAAAGTATGTTTTGTTACCCACTCCAACATGAGACAAGTCTATTGAGCAATAGTTTAAGCTATCAAAAAGTGACCCAACCACCTTTTGTATAGTCGATCATACAACTATGAAGAATTTCATTAAACACAAATCGATTGCCCATTTTAGGATAAAGTGTTATGAGATATTGGTACATAATACAAGAAAGCTGCGCTCTGTGTAGATTCTATAACTTCTGATGGGTGGCTAGTATCTTTGCACAACAATGGAAGTGGGATTATCATCTCAAGTCCAACAAATGCTACTAAAGTTGGTTTGGTGAATACTTCTCTAAAGACTTTTGGTGTATGGTGAAGTTATCAAACTTATCCTACAGATTACTTTGTACTAAAAGTCCATGGACAATGATCGGTATCACATATGAACTCCTTTTGGTGTTTATGAGAGAGTGAGACTTTTGGCATGGATACTACGTAGAGTTTATTAAAGGCGCCGAATCAACCTAGTTAGCCATATAATCCTATTACTCTAAAGCACACTAGCCTTTAAACATGTGAGATTCTTCTTGGTTTAACAAGACGGTTGGAATTAGGATTTGAAGGTCAGAACCTATCGATTGTAGGGCATCCAACTAAACATATATTCCAAGAGAGGCAATTCTACATATATTCATATAGGAACATTCTTCTTGGCACATAGATATATGTATATATAAGTGGGTGATGATAGATTTTTTGTTTAAAGTTTTTTAGAAGAAAATAAAAAAACAATTTTCTAGTTATGACCCAAATGAATAAGGCAAAATTTGCTATAGGACACTGAAAGTGACCTCTCTTTGCTAGCGGACATGCAAAATGGAGCAGTTTGCTGGTGGTCACCAACATTATTATCAAATTTGCTCCCAGACACCGCGCCCAATAAAATATTTATTTCTTGCTTAGGAGGAGAGAGAACAACGATGAAATGTTCTTTTTGCCCCTGGCTCTTTCTTCTTCCCCATCTCGTTCTCTGCTCAGGCCAAGCCCCGCCATGGCCGCGAGCTCGGAGCTTGCCAGTGCTCGGCCATGGAGGAGGTGAGCTCAGCCATGTATGAGGCAGCCATGAGGAGGGGAGCTTGGCCATTGAGGACGTGACCATGGAGGAGGCGAGCTCGACCATGGAGGAGGTGGCCGGCGGACCCGAGCCAGGGCGTGCGTGCGGGCTAGGCACATGCGGGGAGGGCCAAATACGGCCGGTGGGATGGGTATATAATGATTGCTATTGGACTTAGAGTCTAGACGCTAAACTTCAGTAGCCAGAGATAACAACACAGCAGTCCTCACGAAGAAAGCCATAATTATTACTCCGAACTTGAATTTCGATGATCTTGGACTTTGCGAAAAGCTTATTCCAAGGGATATCCAACCCAACCAAGAACAAGCCCCAATATCAGAAAGTGCAAGTGTTGTGCAATTATTTCTCTTATGTTAGCACTCAAGGTTTGGTTAATTAGTTTGAGCACTCGAGACTTTTCTAACTATTTGTGTTGCATCCCCTTGATAGTAAGGTATACCTATATTCAAGATCAAAATGATAAAACTATTTTAGCCACTCGAGTCTTCAATGTCCTCATATGCCATATCTTCTCAATATCTTTTCAATAGAGGTTGCAACCATGTTTGTCTCAATCCTTTGAGTAATTCAACCTTGAGCTTGTGACTTGAATCATTTCAACACATGTGAGTTCCATTCATAGCTTCAAGCCACTTCCACTTATGATTCAACAATGATTTGATCCTTCACACAATATGACTCATCATAGCTTGATTAGTACCTCGACTCAATGCAAGTACTCTCTTCTTCACCGCAGTCATGGTCCATCGGTGCCAAGCCCTCACTTGCGCTTCACCTTTGCTCAGTCCTTCGAAGCCCCTTTCCTTGCTATCTTCACCCTATCAAGCTATCCTCAAGTCACATCATATCTTGAACCGACATTAAGCATTCATTTCATGTCCAATAGCAATCATTATCCATATCTAAGTCATACTCCAACTATTGTCCATAAACCTTCCATGACTTGCCTCATCTTATTTTGATCACATATCTTGATCAACATCAATATATATAGTCAAACCAATTCACGATTGCTTGTATCCTCTACATTTTGGCTTGACACACTTCACTATCAATATACTCGACTTCCTTGGATTGCTATTTCTTCATAATGCCATTGTTGTCCATGTTCACTCTTCATACTTTAAGTTTGATCAATATCCATCCATGATTGATCTATTCTTGTTCATACAAAGCAGGCCACCTATATGAGACCAATCCATATTCATCAACTTATGTCTCATTTGCCATTTGCCAAATATACTTGCTCTCACATGAATCCATGATCTCCCAGATCAAAGAAGCCATTTCATCAACTTTAATTGCATTGTTGTCTTTTGCTTGAACTAGGTTGTTTCTATAATCTTTCAATACAACAATACACAGTTTTGGCCTTCATTTGAACACTATATGGAATACCATCAAGTTTGCCCTGTTGAGATAACCAATCTTCACGTGTATGAAATATACTCAATTTTCTGTTCAACACTTAGTAAACTTGTTAGACCTTTAATTGTATTATCATTTAATCACCAAAACCCACTAAGGGGCTAGATGCACTTTTAATATCTAGTTGATGACATTTTCATTTGAAATCATTTATATTCCTAAAATTCTATGTGAAGTTCTTATATTTTGAATTTTAATTATTCGAATTGTCCAAATGACCTCAAATAGAAAAATGACCAGAAGCAAAGTTGTAGACATCGACGATATCTACAACTTTGTAGCTGACAACTTTTTTCGTTAGAAATTATTTATGATCTCAAATTTCTATTTGAAGTTCTATCATTTTGAAATTCAAATTTTACAAACAACCTCGGATGAAAAAATAACCAAAATCAAAGTTGTAGATCTTGATGAGAACTATGACTTTTTAATTGATGACCTTTTTATTTAAAATCATTTGTGGTCCTTAAATTATGTTTGAAGTTCTCGCAATTTAAAACTCAATTTTCAAATGACCTCAAATTGCGAAACAACCAAAACCGAAGTTGTAATACTCGATGGTACCTAAAACTTTCTATCTGAAACATTTTTCATTTGAATTTATTTAGGCTCTTAAATATTTTATTTCAAAATCTAGAAAATGAATACGAGGGGAATGGATATACCCTTTAGACACAAGTGACTTTTGCCATGGAGTGATTAGAGGAGCTACACATTAGGCTATAGGTTTTTGTTCCGAATCCCAGCACCACATTCATCTCTGGTAAGGGCTTGTATAGATACACTCGTAACCCCCAATCCATGTGTGCTAGAGTGGATTGAGAAACAAAATCAATTAATTTCCACTCCAATACACTCCAATTTATTTGGATTGAGTGGATATGATCATATGAGTGTAGCCGAACAAAGTCTAAGGATGGGGATGGAGCTCCAGCGGGTATCCTCATGTCTCCTCTAGTTCAAATGAGGAAACTAATTACACAATTCCTCTCCCCATTTTTTTCATACATAGTTCATTTTTAGTTTTTTTTTCAAAGAAACTAATTGCACAATTGCTCTCCCATTTCTGTGCATACATAGTCGATTAAGTTGTTTTTTTCGCATAATAAGAGCACCTGCGTCGAGGAGTCGAGGATTTAAAGGTTGAATCTGGATAGGCAGATTTAAAAAAACCAACGAGGTAGATTCACACATAGTTTTTAAGTCGATGGCATAGACACACACGAGTCGCGTAGCTCCCCTGTTTGATTATTGTCAATCTCGGTACATAGATGAACAACTAACCCCACGTCGATGGTCGATCCACACAGCAAATTTTTGACATGGCGTTGCACGCGGTACGTGCACAGCCTAGGCTAGCTGCAAGCTGGACCTAGAGCAGATCAGCCATCTGCCTGAACTCCTCGATGGTGATGGCGCCGTCGCCGTCGCTGTCCAGGCACTCAACAATAGCCGCGCAGTCCTCGGGGCTGGCGTTGCCCAGGGCGCCGAGCACCCTGGCGAGCTCGTCCGCGCCGACGAGCGCGGCCCCGGCGGCCTCGAGCTGGGGCAGCGCCGACTGCAGCATCGCCCCGAGCGCGCCCAGCCCGAGCTCCCCGGCGTTCATCACGTCCAGGAGCTCCTCGACGCTGAGCCGGCCGTCGCGGTCGGCGTCGGCGCGCGCCAGCATGTCGCGCGCCTCGGCCTCGGTCTTGTCCAGGCCCAGCGACGCCAGCAGGCCCCGCAGCTCCGGCGCCGTCACCAGCCCGTCGCTGTCGGAGTCGAACGCCTGGAACGCCTCCACCAGGCTGCTGATGTAGCTCAGCGCCTCGAAGTCCGCCGCCAGTGGCCGCCCCGGCGCCGCCGCCGCCATTGCTGCGCGCTTAGCTTGACTTGCGGGGGTGATGAGCTGGTTGTCGTCGGTCTGTGGATGAGACCTGCTCGATGGCTATGGTTGGCAAGCAAGCACGCTGCGGGCTTTAAAAGAGTTGGAGCCAGCGTTCGATCCATCGCCATTGAGAAGTTCTCGATAAGGTCTGGAACGGAGAACCAGAATCTTTGGCCGCTTTGTGTCGACATGGAATGGAACATTGTTGTTATCATTGAGCATCGTGTTCCCGCGCCGCGATGCGATAGAGACAGTAAGATAGGAGAAGCTGGCTGGATGGATTCTGTCGTGCGAGATGGCGCGCGCGGTGGATGGACAGACGATGGGTACTGGGCCAAACTGGGCTTCGTTGTTTGTTTGTCCATAGCAAATTCCTCATCTGAAACCTTTTCTTCGTTATTTGTTGCACTTACATTGAACTTTTCTAGGCGTGAAGTGTGACATGCGTATTTTATTATATTTTATTACTCTAGGTTTATTGAAAACAAGAAAGAATGTCTTAAAAATACACTAAGAAATGCGTACATCTAATTATACATAAAATATATAAAGTATCAAACCAGTGATTTTACACTTCTACTTTGTAGATCTGAACAATATAAGTTTACAAAAATTTACATTGCTACATTTTGATATTTCTATAATTTATTATGTATCTTATAATTTTTTTCAGCCGATATGATCATTTTTCAGAAAAAGAAACTAAAAGGCACTTTTGCATTGTGACACCAATCTAAATTCAAATTACTGCAACCGCTCTCCCACGTTCTTTCTGTCTTGCACTTTCTCATCTAGAACCCACTCCACCTTCCTCTTCACGAACACAAACAGAGCACGGCGCCCAAGAGTGTCCATCGATTTGGCCGGGCATAGCCTCACCGGCGGTAGGTAGCGGCACAGCGAGCATCCCTAGCATCTCGCACACCCGGGGGTTCCAGGAGGTTTGCTGGAGACGGCACGTGGCCGGCCGGCCATGTGTGGCGGCGCCGCACAGCGCGGCGACGGAGCAGTAAGCGTTCACGGCGGCGCGCACGGTGTTCCGGCGAACTGTGGCTCTGTGGGAAGGGGAAAAGGGTTGGAGAGCAGCAGGAGGTTACCTTAGTGGGGGCGGTTGCGTCAATACATCAGGAATATTGCCGAGCCGAGCTGCTCTCGTGAAAGGGCGTGACGGCGGCCATGCCTAGCGGCGGCGCACGTAGCATTGGCAGCGTCCAGCAGTTCCCATGGTGGTAAAACACTTCCTACAAGTCGACGGCAGCGCGCGCAGAGTCGCCGAGCTCGAGTCGGTGTCGGATTGCTCCAATTCGATGTGCTCGCGGAAACGCGTCATGCTCACGCTTGAATGCAGAGGAACTTGAGTCGGATTCGATCGGCGCGTTCTATATAGCAAGACGCACCAATTTCCCAATTCCATCCGCATCTGCTCGTCCACTGCTCGCATCCGCCGGTTTGCTCGCATCTGCCGACCCTACCCACCGGCTTGCCCGCATCCGCCCGCCGACGATACACGCCGGCTTGCTCGCATCCGCCGCCACCATGGCCAACGAGGAGAGCGGAAGCCCCCTGCGAAGGTGGAGGCCATTCTATGGCGCTTTCGGCGCTATCGACGACGCGATCGAGAGGCAGGCGGCCACCCAGCGCCGCGTTCCGGGGTGGTAAATCCGGATCCTCCAGCTGATCCGCGGCGCCACGGACGACGGCGTGGCGCAGCTCTGCGAGTCGCTGGACGAGCCATGGCGGAAGCCAGGTGTCCTACGATTTGCTGAACGAAACGCGACGTGGCCCTAAAAATAAGAAAATAATATAACAAAAGCATACTTTTACTTTATTATAAAGCTTCAAAATATACGTTGTTCTTACGATCGACGCATCAAATCTTGATGCTAAAACAATACAAAAAGTACTTATCCAACAAACTGACTCGTCCACTACTAAAAGCATCATTCTCTTTATTCTTTGCAAATCTGCCGTCTTCAATTATATCTTCATACACCGGCTTCCCCGCATTTGCCAAGCCAACGATACACCCATTGAATCTTTCTTATGTCATTGCCACCATGGTAGGACTTCAATAAGGAGAGCGGAAAAGCTTCTTTCCGCGATGGTGGAGGCCATTAACAAAACTCTGGCAATAATGGGATTTGGAAAAGAACCATGTTGTTTCAAATATTTCGACGAGGGCGCGATCGAGAATATGATCTTGGATGAACTTTAACCCACGCGCCGCGTTCTTTCATCGACGTCTGAGGACTCTTAAGTTTCACTTCTAGATTGACACAAGAAGAAAGCAATTTTCTATCATCCAAGAACTTAGTGTATTGGCCGAGGCCCTGTAATTTTAGAGGCGCGCAGGACAGGCACCTGCTAATGTACGGGCCTGCGGAAGCGCTGGAGACTCTGAGGGTGGCGCCCGTCCCGCACAGCGCGCTGTCGTCCACCGACCTCACAAGGGCCATTGACGCCCTCGGGAACCATGGCTCGCCCCGGATCCGCAGGCTCGTAGGCGACGTCGTGCGCGGGGGAGGCCGGCCAACGTCGCCACAACTACAGCAGTCAAGGAGGAGCTCGACAAGCTCCCTGCTGATGATCGGATCCCACACCAGGGCATCTCTGCAGTGATCGCTGATGGCAACGCGCGAGAACACAAGGAGAAGTTGCACGTAAAGCCTGCTAAGATGCTTCCCGCCGCCGAGGTACACAAGAAGAAGCTGCACATGCCGCCGGCGAAGATGTTTCCTACCGTCCCTGTCGCCGAGGCATACAAGAAGAAGGTGTATGTTCCAGCAGCGAAGATGCCGCCGACCACAGCTACTGTGTCGACACCGAACATGAGTGAGACCAAGAAGCCCGCAGTCGACGAGAGCAAGAAGATGGAGGATACAAAACGCAAGTTGCGTGAGGGTTACGAAGAGGCCAAGAAGATCAAGCGTCAACACACCATTCAGAAGATCAACGGCAAGGAGGCAGCAAAGATGTTTGAGCAAAAGCAACGGAAGATGCATCCCGTCGTACGAGGGAGAGGCCTAGCAGCCTGTAGGATCTCCTCAGGCATCAGGCATTCGTTGCTTCCCTCTTTTCAGATGATTTAGGGTCCGGTCTAGTTCTCTGGTCCCGTTCGCTTCGCTGAAAAAAATAAGCCGAAATATTATTCCAGCTGATTTGTTATGAGAGAAAAACACTGTTCTGACTGAAAAAACAGATTGAAAAGTACGGATTATAAGACAAGCGAACAAGGCCTTTGTCTTTGATGACTATTATTAGGGTATCAATGTCAGCTATATCTCTGTATGTATAATGAGTTGTGATCATCCGTACTGAAAAAAGAGTAACTTTTGTCCTGCAGCATGTTCTAAGCAAAATTGTTTGTCATGTTTGCTCCAAATGTGCTCCAATGTGTATCATTCAATACATATTTCATAATGTTTTTTTTTTGCAACTGACATATTTCATAATAGTGCGACATAATTTGTAAGTAGAAATTTGGTGTCAAGTGCATCGTTCCTATTCCTGATACGGGTAGAGAATGGGCAACTTCATGTGACTATTTGCTTGTTGGCCAGATAGGTTGTAGAATGTGTATGTCTGTATCACGCATATGAATGTAGCTACATGGCTGATTTTAGGCCCAAGCGGAGGTGGGCCACATAACATGAGCCCAGAACGTGAGTTGTTTTGCCAGCTCTTCTCGTTCGTCTTCAGCGCAACTTCATCAAAGCACCGCTGCTGCACACCACACCAGCTGAGATTTGAGCCACAGTGCAAGCGAGATCGAGGGGCAGGGGTTCCACCGGCGGTGAGGTCGGCCAGACCTCACCATATTGGTGGATTCATGTTGTGGTCTGCAAGAATTTGTTTTGATTTTCATTCTCTGTTTGATATTTGATCTAGTTCCTAATTTTTATAAGACCATATAAGATTCAGATAATTCTAAGCAAGGAACCAAAAGATGGAGCTTGATTTTAGAAAAAAACATAAAACTAGTTTCATATTTTTTTTCTAAATAAAAGCAATTTTTCTGATACTAAACCAGAATTGTTAATGCATATTTATTCTAGAAAATTACTTAGATAATTTTTTTTTAAAAATATTTCTACATTTTTTATAAAGTCTAATTGATCTCCCCGAACCCCGAACTATCTTGAAACCGGATTTACCCACCTTGTGGCTGACATGACATCACCACGTCAGCCAAAACCGCTCAGATTAGTAAATCAGACGATTTCAAGAGTTAAAAAGTATAAAAAATAATTTTCTAATTGAGGAGCGTAAATCGGTCTCACGCAATAGTCGAGTAGCTCAGATGAACTTTTTCCCATCTAAAATGGGCACGAACTGTTCACGCTGAAAATCAAGGCTCAATTTGGTAACTGGGCCAGGTTTGAGTGTCGACAAAACCTTCTGTGAGCCACCTTAAGATTGGCGCTGAAGATTATGTCATAGGCCTCCAAGTGAATTATTAGTGGGCCGGCCTGTTAAGCTCTCTCCCTCGAACCAAGCTGTGTTCCCTTTCCACTCGTTGGTTGAAGCAGCTGCAGTGGCTGGCTCCACTAAAAAAAAAAGCTGCCGTGGCTGACAGTTGAGAAATTGCAGCCGCAGCTGCAACAGCAAGCTGATCCCAACACTACTTTAGCTTTGGAATATGTGTTTTTTTTCGACCTTAATTTCGTCCCCTGAATTTTGGTTGGTGAATTTACATCGAGGACATAGAAAAAACAAGAAAAATCCACGCTCGTCAAAGACGTCAACTGCTTGTCAGACATTTCCTGGAACGGTCCACCAGATCCTTCCGAACGGCCCTCCAATGCTGATTTTTTGAGCCATTTCTCCATGTGACAATACAAGTAGCCGTCAAATCTCACCTTTTTCGTTCCAGAAAAGAACATGGCCGGGCGTTCTGTTCTCACAAAATCAACACACACCTACGCGGAGCCCCTTATATTGACCGATCACGGTCTACAGCTTGATCCGGCAACCCAACGAACTTGTCAAGAACAAGAAGGCATGTCAATCCCCTTCGTGTACGTTGGAAAAAAGACAGTCATCATGGAGAAATCTTGCAGGAGGCACGGTATCTCCATCTTTCTGAATTCTGAACCTGAACCTGAAGCTTGGACAAGGACAAGAAGCAGGGCCCCAGAAGAACCGGTCCTGGATATTGCAGGGATATATACGCTTGCACATCTGATATGGCCGGCCGGCTTACTTGCCCCTGTCTGACTGTCTGAATCTGACTCGCCATGCATGCATGACGTTGAACACGATGGAGGACTCTGAATTCAGGGTCGGGATCAATGAAAAAAAAAACTATTGCAACCGATCGAAGTCTGAAACGAGTCAAACGATGAACAGGTTACCTACGCCTGTGCTGAGGTAGCAACCGGGCAAGTGTCAAGGAGTTGGTAGGAGATGGAATCAGCAAATGGAGGTCAGCTGCTTCGTGACGTGCCTGCTTAATTAACCGGTGAGACAGGCACCGTAGACCTCCGGCCGGTTTCAACAGGACAACCGGAAACCATGGGTTTGGAGTGTCAGGAACAGGTATGTCCATTAGCATCTACTCCGTAATACTAGTTAGCTGTCTGGTAGCTAATATATAATGGTGAAGTACTAGCTAGAAGTTGTATGTTCCATCAACTAATAGCTGGTTGAAATGCTGGGTTGTCTTTATCTAACAAAATACTAAAATAGCGTGTGAACAAAGGAGCGGTCGGAGCACAAAAGAGTAATTTGGGAATCTATTAACGGTTATTAGCTGAGTTTAGCCAAGTAATGATATAACCATTGGACGATTGGCTACCTAATATTCCCTCCAGAACACCCCCCCCCCCCAAAAAAAAACCCTTGATCTTTTAGTTTTTTTTTCCTAAGTCAAACTATCTTAAATTTATCAAAGCTTATAGATAAAATTGTTTATATTTATGAAATTAAATATAGATATACAATGAAAATATGTTCCGTAATAACTCTAATGATACTAATTTGGTAATATACAAATTAATAATTTGTACTCGCTCTGTCCCCCTGGTGCAAGCGGTAGATTCTTACCGCCTGTGACCGGAAAGTCCCGGGTTCGAGTCGCGGTCTCCTTACATTGCACAGGCGAGGGTAAGGTTTGCCACTGACAACCTTCTCCAGACCCCGCACAGAGCAAGAGCTCTCTGCACTGGGTACGCCATTTCTCTGTCCCTAAAAATAATCAATTTCTAGACAAAAATTTATCCACGAATAAATAGATTCCTGGGGTGGACGGCTCCACCAGCACGCCTGGAGTCCCCGTGGCATTTAACGAAGCATGCACCCCCGTCTCTCTCCTACATTAAGCGCGTTGTTCTCCCATGCCCTCTCCTCTCTCCCCTCTCCCGTCATTCTCTCCACCACAACCGCCCCCAACTCACCAATCCTCAATCTCCACGGAACCCAAAATCTTCAATCCCGGCGACCACGTTGATGGCGCCTGGTCCATATAATGGATCCTCGTCACACAGTAGATGGTTGTGGCACAATGGAGCAAGGAGATCTAGCTTCGTGGTGGCTGCGGTGCCCCTGGCCAAGGTCGCGGAGGCAGCGGCAGCGGAGGTGGCGACGGCGGGATCCAGGCTTTGAGCACCCGGATCCACGTTAATTTGTCAAATTTAAGACAATTTAACTTAGGACAAAATAAAACATCAAGTTTTTCCTTGGAACAAAGGTAGTAGTTAACCATGCTATAAGCTAAGCCTGTTTGGTTCCACAACATTTATTTTTAGCAGTTAACTTTTAGAACTAACAAATCCAATTTGCGTGAAACACGAAGGATGGTTACCTAATACTTAGTGCCCGCTCATCTCTTTTAGGAGTTCCCTATGTCAGACTTAGAAAGTTTGAGATGAGTACGCAAATGTATGGATACTTAGGGCGCGATTGGTTACCGGTGGAGTTGAGCCAGGCTTGCACTTGCCAACCAGGCCCGCAGGAACCAGGCGTAGATGGTACAAGAGCTAGTTGTTTGGTAGGTCAAACCGACGGAAACATTACAAACAATGCTATTGTTTGGATGCCTGAATGGAGCAAGCTTTTCAGTTGAAAGCGCAAAGGAACTCAACAGGTGGACGTGCGCGCTTGCGCCGCGCGAGCCAGGCTCGCCAGAAACGAGATTGAACTCCGTTTCTGCGCAGCCAGGCCGGAGCAGTACTTTTGCATCAGTCGGACCAGGCTCAAACAAGCATACAACTAATCAGTCCTGCACCTCATGGCCCAAGCTCCTCTATATCTAGCAAACCAATCACGCACTTAATGTTGTATAGGATGCAAAGAGGTAAATTGGTTGTGCGGAGTAATTTGGAGAGACAAAATAGCTTAGCATGTGTTTGTGGAAAAGGAAGATGGGTGATTTTAGAATGATTATTTTATTATATGTATATATATTCCATACATACATCATGTATATATATATATATATATATATATATATATATATATATATGATATATCGTATACTTAACCTGTTGCAAGAAATTACATCAATATTTGGTCGAACCCCTGCCCCCTCCCCTCCTACTTCCCACTCTCCACGTTGCTCCAGTGGGGCTTAAGCCCCCTTGGCCCCTGTGAGACCCCGTTAAATGGGCCAAGTTGGGCCGGACTGATGGGCTGGGCCAAATTGCCAAGACTGTAGTGACAAGGTGGTGCGAGTTACTGTAGCATCACGGAACACTGTAGCTACGGGATTTAGTCACGCGTCGAACACGAGGCAGTGCCGAACCAGCTTAAAGAGCCTAGACCTGGGAGGCCGTTAACTTTGGATCGAATTTTTTGCGTGGAGCGTGGACTGAATTTTTCGCGCGAAGCGAAAACGAAAGCACAATCGTTTTAATAAACTGTAGCATCGTAGAACACTGTAGCTACGGGAATTTGTCCCACATCGGAACCAGAGGTAGTGCCGAACCGGCTTAAAAGCCTAGACCTGGAAGGCTGTTAACTCCGGATCGATTCTTTTGCGCGAAGCGAGGACGAAAGCGCAAGAGACTTAATTAGTAGGTGTCGTCTATTCAACGTGTAGAGTGGATCTTAGCCGCCATCTCGGGTCAGGGCGTTACAACCCCCATGCTAAACTATTACTTTTTTTCCACTACGTGAGCTATGACCGCTAAATTGTGTTTTAGTGCTGCTAAATTGCTTAGCATTAGCTTGAAAATAGCTCCGCTATTTCAATTTAAGCTAGAACAACAACTTATTAGGGTTTCCTTAGAAACACAACAATCCGAATGCCACTAGGTTGACCTAGACGGAATCGGACCTTTCGAGCCCTTCAGCGCCCTCAGTGATCGATTTGGGGAATAAAAGTGTCGATAGGTTTAGCCTAGGCGTCACCCCTTATTATATAGCGCAGTGGGACGGGGAGCCGTCCCCAAAGTGACCTTAGGGTTGCCGCCGATCGCGGCAAGACTTATGTAGTTGGATAGGTAGCTGGCAGGTGGACCCAAACTTAGCTTCTCTTAGTTAATCTCGTGATTAATCTTGGATTAGCCGAGATCACCTTCCAACAGGGTAGGGGGCTACGTCCCTGTATCCTGTTAGATCCTTCATCCTTCATTTTAGTGTGGAGACTTGGGGAGTGCTCAGTTGCACTGGCAGCCGTGTAGCAGCAGCTAGCCAGTGCAGCTAATCGGAGGTTCAAATAAAAATTTACATTGTTTGGATGTATGAACGTTTAATCACTTGTACAATCATGCTTTGGTCTGGTATAAAGCGACACTTTTTCCCAAAGATCCATTACTGTCTTGTATTTATATAAGTAGAGAAGCGGTACTACATGATCCTTGTAAGACTAGTCTTAATTACAAAGATCGACAACGGAAAAGATAACGGCTCATCTTCGAAAGAATGAATTGCTATCATCTAAACGTTCGATTCTGGTCTATGCAGATTGGTGCAGGTAAAGCGCGCGGTACTACATGACAAGATCTGGCGTATCATCGGAGAAGTTCATACTGCATAAACTGGTGGGAATAAAGGCTTATTTCTCTATTAAGAAAAATCTGACTCCAAGCTCACTGATTTGTGTGAAAGAAAAAAAACTGTGCTAGCTACATTGCATGCGATTTAAAATGGTGTAAAGTCAAGGGAAAGTGACGGGTTAAATTACTAGATCAGTACGGAGTAGCAATCAATTAAGCCCTTGTCAAAACCACCTCACCTAATGCCAAGTGCCAAACGAAAAAAAAAAAAACAAACCATTCTCGCCCAAGATGTTGACAATGCAAGGAATGCAAGCATATGACGGGGACGACCGAGCACGTTTCTGACTTTACACACACGATGGAGACTTGGGCATGTGAAATTAAACTAGCGAAACCGCACGGCGGCATATGTTTTCGCGTGGTGCATGAACCGTGTCAATGCAAGCTTCTGCCGGAAGTACAGTTAGTTCACCAAATGGGTTTCCGTGAGTAGGGCGTTTGCATTGGGTGATGGGCACATAGATCTTCTCGTGTGAGGGGGAACATACCACCTAACGAAAACGCTAGCTCCTCCCTTGATCACAAGCTATGCTCAGTGACACAGGAAAGGTGTGTTGTGTACGGAAATGAATGTTTTCTGTGTGCAAAATATGGGCGAGTTTGCTAATGCTAGTAGGACTGGCTTAGTCAGCTCTGTTTAGGCAACCCATCCGGCTTCGGACGCTCGAAATCCAACGCCTAGAAGTGATGCCTGGACTAGGCGACTTGAGCTTCTCCACGCACCGCGGCAAATGAGCCCTGATATGCTCGGTGGCAAAGAATGATGAAAGATCTTGACCGCATTCCCATGCTGATTATAAATGGTTTGTTTAAGTTTAGTGCCCACAAAAAAGTCGAATTTGCACTAATAATAAGCATCACAACCCATCTCCATCGAATCACAAGTGTGTGGTGTGGCCGTGTGGGCAAACCATTCACCCGGCAACTCTTGGTGCTTGCATGATACAGCGGATCACTCATCACTCATCACTCATCGCCTTGCCTACTGGTAATCCACCCACTGCGCTGCACTGCACGGATGCACGCACGCACGCGCAGAGCCGTCCATCAGGACAGAGACGGCTGCTGGTGTGATCCAATCCAACCCCAATACCCAATGTACTCATTCAATTTCGTCGCGGCCTCCCAACCAAACCTCCGGCTGGGCATGAACTCTTCTCCTTCGTCTCGTCTTCTCTACCTGTACGCTCACAGCGTACGCAACGCGAGAGGGACACGTCACTAAAATAATTGGCACTCCCAAGGCAACGACAAGAACAGCTAGCCGTCAGCGTCTGGACGCACCCATAGCGCCATGCAGCACCTAAACCCCTCAGCTTTCATCCAATTGGCTAAACCTTGTCATATACTATATATCTTTTTTTATAAAACACGTTCACATACATATACGAAGTATACATCTGCATAATTGCCTCTGTATATAAACACATACACGCAGATAAAATATAAATAAACGTTCAACTACAAACAACTTTGTACTGTGTAATCGTAAAAATAAAATAAAATTTATAAAGTCATCGCAGACGCCACGTTGTTAATGAACATATTGTCTGAAACCAAAAGGGTAACTAATCGGAAATACCGTCGCCAGGTCGAGAACTCAAATTCAACGAGCTCCACCAATCAAGCGAGAGTCAAACATTTGATGCAACCCACCTGATTAAGCTTTGTTTCTGTCCACGTTCGTCCGGTGTCGTAGTGTGAAGGCAGGAAGCAACGCGAGATACTGATCTGTCCCTGCCAAAGACCCGGTCTACACGCCGGCGATTTTTTTCCTTTGTCCTCTTGTATTATTTCCATGTACATATATACGGTTGGTCTTCGAGTTGCAAACGTGTATGCAAACCATGTACGCCTCTGCTCTGACCAGACTTTCCTGCAAGGCATTTGCATTCTGTGCAACAAGTGATGTGAACTGCACGATCCTGTCAGTAATAAGTGAAGAGTGAACAGATAGATTCAAATGGTTCGGTAGCCAATGCAAGTGATTTTTTTTTTCTCACAGGCTCTTGTTCATTCGTCGACAGAGACAACCAGACCTGCAAGTCGTAAACCATCGCTGCTGTGGAACAAGAAAGGAATAATGACCTTGTAGATACAGCATGAATACACACAAAAGTAGCATCAAGAATAAGACCAGTCTTATGTGCATCTTTTTTACCCTTTTTTGCGAACCAGACTACTAGTCTAGCACTGTACCACATGTGTTTTGCATGCATGGCTTAATGGTCTAGCACTTCTGCAGATCATGTTTAATCTCAAGCATATCATCGACCGATCCGTCAGGATTATCGCAGGAATTATTCCGTTGGCAGCCAAAGCCACATGGAGTGATTAGCAATCCTGTAATCCCCCAGCACGTCCTACAACTCTAGGCATACAGTATAGATAGAATACTTTGAATTGACAAGAGAAAAAAAAAGAATAAAAATCTATGCACATCTCACGGCGACCTGGCTTGCCCATCTGACCATGTCCTGTCCCACGTTACCTCCCAATATTTTTGTCCTGATCCATCCATCCGTAGCCCATAGATGCATAGGTCACCATCCTAGAGTCGTACTCACTTTGTACCAAAAAGATTGTATTTCTAGAACACTGCTAGGTCAAATTTCATAGATTTATATAAAAAATACTAATAATTATCATAACAAACAAATATTATTAGATTCGTCATGAAATATATTTTCATGGCATACTTACTTGAATTCATATATATTGATACCAATTTTCATAAATTTAGTTAAATTTAAGATAGTTTAAGTTTGATCACATACAAAATTGCATTCTTTTCTAGAGAGATATACTATGCCGTAGGGCCAAGGCAAAGCAGAGACGCATTTCTTTCGCAGACGTACACATCACCCGACGCTCCAACGGACCACCAAAAGTAAACGGCCCGGCCGGGCACAGCCGTGGCCACCCACCCCGGCCGGCCCCGGCAGTGCCATTATCCTGACGACCTCCTCCATCCACTTGCTGCTCAATCAGCCACAGACCGCGCACACATTGACCACGACGTTAATGATAGCTAGCCTTTCTAAGATTATTATCGATTATATATTTATATATGTGCGATGCGGGATGAGACTGGAAGATATATATTATCAAGATAAGTGTGTAGTGCTCTTCGATGCACCTGCCACTTCCTCCAGAAGTGCCCATTGGAAACGCGAATCTTCGGAGCCTCGTCGGCTGTTGCTTTCGCCTTTTTCCAGTTCTGCAAAATGGATCCGGAAAAAGGGTTTACAACTGTCAGGAGAACACTGAATGAACATGCAAAGAAACTGATCAGTGTCCCATTATCTCCATTAGAATGGCTAGATTTAACGTTGGCTCGCCACGCCTATCACAACCCTCCTCCTTTACCAGGGTTTGGGACCTGCTATGTTGAGACAACATAGGCAGAGTTACAGTTTTGTATGTTAAAAAAAAAACCCTGAATTTTAAATGTCATAGGTTACAGTTTTCGACGGTCAAGCGATTTCTTCTCAAGGTTTACATGCAGCCATGTAGGAGTAATATTGTAACAATACAATAAATGAAGCAGAAACTTTCATTTGACATTAGGTTGGTGATGAAAAAAAACATGGTTTGGTTTCTTATCAGTTAAGACTTAAGAGTCGCATAAAAGATTCAGAAGATATGCATGAATATATGCAGCAATAAATTATCTCAGCATGGTGCAATATTCAATACCAACCTGGGCTCCAAAAGAAATATTCTGTGGCAACTTCCAAAGTTTGATGACGACCCTAGAGAAGGATAACAACTAAGGCTTCGTACAGGGAAGTTGGACTTTTGCACGTAGAGTTGTAGCAACCCATGCAAAACGTCAAACATGTGAACTGGGCAAGAAAAGTATTTCCGATTTGTTTTCCTTCCCTCTCTGGAGTCTATTGGAGAAGAAAAAATTGGTGGTGGCAAACGTGTAAGTAACTGACTTGGATGTTTCTGCATCATATACCTTTGCCATTCTTCCTCGGGGAACAAGACAAGGAAAGCTCAACACCACCAGAAAGAGCAAGCAGCTGCTTCTTCTTCCCCCATGCTGTCGTAGAAAGAACCTCTGGTTCTTTAGCTAGTCAGAGCCCAAAATCCAAATTGAGCGTCTCTGCGAGCTGCAGGACGTTTCATGAGAGAATCATGCCATCGCTGAATTTGCTATGCAGTAGCAGTAGCGCCTCCAAATTACCCGTGCCTTTCTTTGGTACTGCCTTGGTGGTCCTCCTCTCTTTTGCATCCCTCGCCAGCTCCTGTACAGAGCAAGAGAAGAGCTCCCTCATCGACTTCCGAGATGGTCTCTCCCAGGAGGGCAATGGCGGCCTCAACATGTCGTGGGCCAACAGCGCAGACTGCTGCCAATGGGAAGGAGTAAACTGCGGCAACGGTGGCGTGGTCACAGAAGTCTTGCTGCCTTCTAAAGGCCTCAAAGGGAGGATCCCACCATCTCTCAGCAATCTTACAGGGCTGCTGCACCTCAACCTGTCATGCAATTCACTCTACGGCAGTCTGCCAGCAGAATTGGTGTTCTCCAGCAGCATCATCATCTTGGATGTCAGCTTCAACAGCCTATCTGGTCCTCTGCAAGAGCGTCAGTCCCCAATTTCTGGCCTTCCTCTCAAGGTACTGAATATCTCAAGTAACTTCTTTACAGGACAGTTACCATCCACAACACTGCAAGTGATGAACAATCTTGTCGCTCTTAATGCAAGCAACAACAGCTTTACAGGACCATTGCCATCCTCTATTTGCAGCAACGCCCCATCACTTGCCATGCTTGATCTTTTCTTAAATGACTTCAGTGGCACTGTTTCCCCAGAGTTTGGCAATTGCTCCAAGTTGACAGTACTCAAGGCTGGCCACAACAACCTTACAGGAGGTCTACCCCATGAAATGTTCAATGCTACCTCATTGGAGCACCTCTCTTTTCCAAACAATAATTTGCAAGGGGCACTTGATGGTTCCAGCCTAGTCAAACTCAGTAATCTGATATTCCTTGACCTTGGATCAAATGGGCTTGAAGGAGAGATGCCAGATTCTATTGGGCAGCTGGGAAGATTGGAGGAGCTCCACTTAGACAACAACCTGATGATCGGAGAGCTGCCATCGGCCCTACGTAACTGCAGAAGTCTCAAGTATATCACCCTCAGAAACAATAGTTTTGTGGGAGATCTTAGCAGAGTTAACTTCACCCAGATGGATCTGAGGACTGCAGATTTTTCACTGAACAAATTCAGTGGAAGAATTCCTGAAAGCATATATGCATGCAGCAATCTAATTGCTTTGCGATTGGCTTACAACAATTTTCAAGGCCAGTTCTCACCAAGAATAGCCAATCTCAGATCCCTTTCCTTCCTTTCAGTTACCAATAACTCATTTACAGATATCACAGATGCACTTCAGAATCTCAACAGATGCAAGAACCTTACCTCCTTGCTAATTGGAAGCAACTTCAAAGGTGAAACCATACCACAGAATGCAGCAATTGATGGTTTTCAGAATCTTCGGGTCCTAACCATAGATGCATGCCCATTGGTTGGGACAATCCCTCTTTGGTTATCAAAACTCACAAAATTGGAGATATTAGATCTATCATACAATCACCTTACTGGAACAATACCATCCTGGATTAACAGGCTGGAACTCCTCTTCTTTCTGGACATATCAAGCAACAGGCTTACAGGGGATATCCCACCTGAATTGATGGAGATGCCAATGCTACAATCTGACAAGAATGCTGCCAAGTTGGACATGAAGTTCCTTGAGTTACCTGTATTTTGGACACAATCACGTCAATACCGTTTGCTCAATGCTTTCCCCAATGTATTGAATCTATGCAACAATAGCTTGACAGGCATAATTCCCCAAGGGATTGGTCAGCTGAAAGTGCTCAATGTCCTCAACTTTAGCACCAACAGCTTATCTGGAGAAATACCACAACAAATTTGCAACCTCACCAACCTGCAAACTCTAGACTTGTCAAATAACCAGCTCACAGGTGAACTACCAACTGCACTGAGTAATCTTCACTTCCTTTCTTGGTTCAATGTGTCTAACAACGACCTAGAAGGGCCAGTTCCAAGTGGAGGACAGTTTAATACCTTTACAAATTCTAGCTACATTGGAAATTCCAAGCTATGTGGTCCTATGCTCAGTGTCCATTGTGGCCTGGTAGAAGAACCTCCAGCCTCAATGAAAAGGAGGCACAAGAAGACCATCTTTGTGCTTGCCTTAGGTGTGTTCTTTGGAGGGCTTGCCATGCTTTTCTTGCTGGGACGTCTTATTCTGTTCATCAGAAGCACAAAATCTGCTGACAGAAACAAGAGCAGCAACAACAGGGACATTGAAGCAACTTCATTCAACTCTGTTTCAGAGCACATAAAGGGAAGCATTTTGGTGATGGTACCTCGAGGAAAGGGAGAATCAAACAATATCACATTCAATGATATCTTGAAGGCCACAAATAATTTTGATCAGCAGAACATTATTGGTTGTGGAGGTAATGGTCTAGTCTATAAGGCTGAGCTACCTTGTGGATCCAAGCTTGCGATCAAGAAACTCAATGGAGAAATGTGTCTGATGGAAAGAGAATTCACAGCAGAGGTTGAAGCACTCTCTATGGCACAACATGAGAATCTTGTGCCACTATGGGGTTATTGTATCCAGGGAAACACGAGGCTCCTCATATATTCTTTCATGGAGAATGGGAGTCTTGATGATTGGCTTCACAACAAGGACAATGCCAACTCATTTCTTGATTGGCCAATAAGGCTCAAGATTGCACAAGGAGCAGGTCGGGGCCTTTCTTATATCCACAACACCTGCAACCCTAACATTGTTCATCGTGACATCAAGTCCAGCAACATCTTACTTGACAGAGAATTCAATGCTTATGTTGCTGATTTTGGCCTGGCAAGATTGATCCTTCCTTACAACACACATGTCACGACAGAGCTGATAGGCACTCTGGGTTACATTCCTCCCGAGTATGGCCAGGCCTGGGTGGCCACACTGAGAGGTGATATATATAGTTTTGGAGTGGTCTTGCTTGAGCTGCTCACAGGGAAGAGGCCCGTCCAGGTTTTGACCAAGTCGAAGGAACTTGTCCAATGGGTAAGGGAGATGAGGTCCCAAGGAAAGGATATTGAGGTCTTGGATCCTGCTCTCAGAGGAAGAGGACATGACGACCAAATGCTGAATGTGCTTGAAGTAGCCTGTAAGTGCATCAACCACAATCCTGGCTTGAGGCCGACCATCCAAGAGGTGGTGTACTGCCTGGAAACTGTAGTTGAGCCCCTGCAGGTGCAGGTGCAGATGTAATAAAAGGAGAACATATTGTAGGTGGCAATATTGTACTCCATCAGACTAGGTGTAACTTCAGTAGAAGGAAGAGTTTCTAACAAAGAGCGCAGTACTGTACATTTCTGAAAGAAAAGTCTCATGTCATGAGGCCCTGTATACAATTTTCCTTATTCCTTCCGTGGAAATATTGCACCTCCTAGTTCAAACGATTGAATATGGAAAGTGCATAAAAAAAAGGCATTGGACTCTTGCTTAGTATGCCTACATTTGTATCCTAGTGAAGTTGTACAGTTGTGTATGTAAATCTGTGAAAAGAAAAGGCTGACAGCTATGAGCTTCTGTCTACAATTTTCCCTCTTGTTATCTAAAACCTATAGCGCTCAAGTTCAATTGCAGGAACAGTGAAAGCACTTTGAAAGCATATTGAGCTATCAATTAATTCATTAACATTTCTGGAACTGTGAAACATGTACAGATGCCTGTATTAGAAAAGATGGATATATGGATAGCATAATTGAGGAAGAAGGATGGACTTTGCTGGCTTTTTTTTTTTAATCTGTGAAGGGGACAGGACAAGATATGAAGTACCATTGTTCAGAATTTAGCTTACTGTTGTTGCTGTGAGAGGGGGAAATTTATGAACCAGTGGTGTTCAGATTTAACTTAGCAGCATAATCAGTATTGTTCAGTTTCAGTTTGGTTCCCTCCCTCCCTATAATAACAATATGATGCTTAAGCCTACATGGTTGGGAGGAGTAACCACAGCAGCACAATGGCGGAAGCAAGACCACAAGCAATGCACATTTCCACAGACCACACCATCCTAACAGCCCGACAATTTTCACATGCAGAATGCTAACACCAACAAGCCCTAGCAAAAAAAAGGCAGCACAGCACCAACCTCTAACACAAATGTCAGGGGCATCAAATGACGGTCGCGGTTGCTGGCTGCCGCCTGCCGGTGGTCGCCCTCGCCCAGCCAGGAACGCGTGCGAATCTATGCGGAACGGGAGGGGCCGCACCGTCACAGCCAGCGGCTGTGCGGGCGGGGTGAGGCCGCCGGGGAAGAAGAGGGCTAGAACTCCCCGGTCTCCTTTATCTTCTCCGTGGGCCGTCGCATTCACAGATTCATTCTTACTGGTAGATGGGCCTTTTCTGGGCTAACACTTCCCATTCTTACCGGCCCGGTTCTCCCCGGAGCGCACGCCGCCGACGCCCGACGGTGAGCCGCGCAGGCGCGCATCCCTTCTCGCCACCCAAGCGGCGAGTCAGAAGCGACGCCCGCCGCCGCCACCTCACGTCACGCCCGTCCGCAGCAAGGTGAGCGAGTTCCTACTTCCTTTCCTCCCTGCTTCATCCCTAATCCGACAGCAGCGACCTCCAACTCTAATCTGCTTCCTTTTTCTTCTTTGCCCTAACGCAGTGGAAATGGCGGCGCCGGTGCCGGAGTGGGCTACCAAGGAGCCCTGCCTCATGGGGATCGACGAGGCTGGCCGTGGCCCTGTCCTTGGTAAACGCTTTCTCTCTTCTGACCGGTCCATACGCAATGTTGCTCCAAACTCTTTTTGAGTTTTACTGTATAAATATTCAGTAGTCCAAAGTGAAATAGGATGAACACTCATGGAAATGCGCAATGTTGCTTGAAATTCAAGTTGGTTTCAACACGTTCCCCAGCAAAATGTCATGAGCAGGACGCTGATCTGCAGGTTTTGAGGAGAGATGGCCAGATGGGGTCTTCCCAAAACTCACTTCCTATTACTTCTCGTGCAGGTCCTATGGTGTATGGATGCATGTACTGCGCGAGCTCTTACAATAACACTCTTGCCACTCTCAAGTTCGCAGGTCTTCCTCACTCACATCTTCGTCATCTGCTTGTTGAAGCTGATTTACTTGTTGTTGTGTAGTTGCATCACACAGCTCAGTATTCTCAGAGTAGTTTTAGTTCTACAGATTACAGACATGTGTATATAATTTAGTTTCAATTGTATACCGAATTATTCAGTGACTGAGCTTGTGTCAGAGAATAAATTGGGTAGCTTCGAAGTTATGACACATAATCTTTGATAGATTAATTTGCGACCTTGTTCAATTTGTGCTCATTCATTAAGTAGATGCTGGCAGTAGTTAAGCACTTTGGTTGATTTGGCATGGTATAAGCTAGCATATCTTTTAAAGACCTGATGCATATATTTATGTGATGGGATAAGTCTCATGTGCTGGTCTTTGTGGGGCTGTGCTGGTCACATGGTCTTTGTGGCTGCATGGTCTGTTTTTAGGACAGCATAGGACAACATCTTAGAGGACATCATCTTAGCATCTAGGACATCATCTTAGCATCTAGGACAACATCTTAGACTAGCACAGCCTATAAATATATACCCCCAACTCCTCAGGTTGGTATGGCATTTGTGTGAGAAATAAACCAAAAAATTGTCCCAACTCATAGTGTCATCCTCTCTCGATGAGAGTAAGAATTCTGCTACTACCAAGAGTAAGAATTCAAATGACTAACAACCTGTATCGAGCCAGTATTATCCTATAGCTTTGAGCATCTCCTCATCTCATCTTCTTTCCCCTCTAATAGCCCCTCACTAGGAGCAAGAAGCACTCACGCTCGCTCTCTGCTCCTCCTCTCCTCTCACAGACGAAGCAGAGCAGCCCTCTCCCCACGCAGCAACCCCCCGGTAGCGCGTCATGTCCGCAGGGCAGTCTCAGCGCTCGGTCGCCTCGAGCACGCGACGTCGGCAGTGATGGGATAAGTCTCTGTGGTCATTGTGGGGCTGCAATAGATCTTTAATCAAGAATGACATGGTGGTCTTGCTGCCAAACCCTTGGCGACTGGAGGACAAGAAGGACAAAGACATCTTGACTAGACAAAGATCTTGATGGACAAAGATCTTAGGACAGCATCTTAGAGGCACCTTAGGACAGCATCTTAGAGGACAGCATATTAGCATTTTAGATTAGCATCTTGGCATATGCTTAGCTGCCTAGCAGCCTATAAATATGTATCCCCAACCCCTCAGGTTGGCATGGCATTGAGAAATAAACCAGAAAATTGTCCCAACTCCTAGTGTCATCCTCTCTCGATGAGAGTAAGAATTCTGCTACTACCAAGAGTAAGAATTCTCGCTACTACCAAGAGTGAGAATTCAAATACTAACAACTAGTATCGTCAGTCGTACTATCCTCAGTAGCTGAGCTTCTCCCTCGCTCATCTCTCTCCCACCACACAACATCCCATTTCACCAGCGGCAAGAAGCAGCCCAAGCGCTCGCCACTCCTCCTCCCCAGCAGACGCAAACAACTCGCAGCCCTTCTCCCCCATGCAAAGAGCCCCCCAGCGCGCGTCATGTCCGTGAGGCGATCTCGGCCTTCAGTCGCCTCGAAAGCACGCCAAGGCGGCGGAGAGGCCGAACTTGCCGCGGCGGCAGAGAACGCGAGCGAGCGGCGCAGCAGAGACTGATGGGCGACAAAGCGTCGAGGTCGGCAATGCGCGGGCAGCAGCAGCCAGAGCGGAGGCGGAGCAACAAGGCGGCGGCAATGAGGTCGAGGCTTCAAGGCGGCGAAAGATCGGCAGCCCATTTCATTGAAGACACCGCCGACGCGGACCTCGAGCTGCTAGAGAGGGAGGCGGCAGCGAAGGCGGCGGCGGCGATAAGCGACGCGCGCGCCCACGAGCATGGCGGCAGCCTGCACAGCGCGGACGCTTGACCGGGGCGCTCTCGGAGGAGGCGCGCGCGGCGGTGGCGCTCTGGGCAGCAAGACGCGCCCACGAAGCGCGGCGGCAGCGAACAGACGCACGGACGCGCCGGCGGCGCTCCTGGTGGAGACGTGCACGGCGGCGGCGCTCCTGGAGGAGGCGCGCACGGCAACGGTGGCGGACGAGTCGATGGAGAGCGCGGCCTTCACAGGCAGCGTGGCTCTCTCTCCCCAGATCGGTACCGACGGGTCGATGGAGAGCGCGGCCTTCACAGGCAGCGTGGCTCTCTCTCCCCGGATCGGTACCGTGGTTACATCGGGCTCCAGGCTGTTGTCAGGGACGTCGGTCCCGACAGTGGGTGGCGTACCCTCACCAAGACCAACTACGTCGAGTGGGCTGCGGTGATGAGGGTAAAGCTCCAGCTGCGGCACATGTGGGAGGCAGTCCAATACGGCGACGTCGACTACGACCTAGATCGACGGGCGCTGGATGCCCTCATCGCTAAAATCCCACCCGAGATGCAGTTCTCGCTTACCAACAAGTGGACTGCTAATGAGGCTTGGGACGCCGTCGCTGCGGCACGCATCGGCAGCGACCACGCCCGTAAGTCCACACTGCAGGCACTTCGCAAGGAGTGGGAGAATCTGGCCTTCAAGCCAGGTGAGGACGTTGATGACTTTGCTCTCCGTCTCAACACTTTTTTGCAGAAGATGGTGCAGTTCGGCGATGAGAGAGCTGTCGAAAAGCTCTTTCGCTGCGTCCCCGAGAAGTACAAGCAGATGGCTCGCTCGATCGAGTCCCTGCTGGAGCTCTCCACGATGTCGATCGAGGAGGCGATAGGTCGCCTCAAGGTCGTCGACGGCGATGAGCCACAGTCTCTCTCGGGGCCCATCACCACTGGCGGGAAGCTCCTTCTCACTCGGGAGTAGTGGCTTGCCAGCCAAGGTGACCGGAAGAAGGGGGATCCTTCTTCCGCGACAGCGCGGCGCAGCGCGGCAAGCCGCGCAAAAGCGCGCAGAGACGCCAGTGCCGGGCGCGAGGACGTCTTGCCGGGTGATGCCCATGAGGCGCCAGGCGGCGCCGTCGGCGGCACAAAGCCGGCCGCAAGACGAGACGACGCCGCCGCAATCGCGCCAACTTAGGCCATTGGGCCAAGGATCGCCGATAACCACGACGTGGGCTGTGCCCACGTCGCCAAAGCGAGGAGGAGGAGCCGGCTTTGTTCATGGCACATGCAAGCATCGAGCTACCTCACCTCCGCACACCGCCGCAGCCGACCTCCTCCACCTTGACGAGCCAAAAGCACACGCCCTCCTCGACGACGGCTCCGGAACGACAAGATCCGACGGTGGTGCCTCGACACCGGCGCCACCACCCATCACATGACCGGTCGACGGAGTTCTTCACCGAGCTTGACTCTAGCGTCCGAGGCTCCATCAAGTTTGGGGATGCCTCCGGCGTGGAGATCAAGGGCGTCGGCTCCGTCATCATCTTCACCGCCGTGTCTGGTGAGCACAGGCTGCTCACCGGAGTCTACTACATCCCCGTGTTGAGGAACTCCATCATCAGGTTGGGACAGCTGGATGAGAACGGTTCGCACGTGGTGGTTGAGGATGGGGTCATGAGGATTTGGGATCACCGTCGTCGCCTTCTTGCCAAGGTATCCAGAAGCGCAAATCGACTCTACGTCCTTAACGTGCAGGTGGCACAACCCCTCTGTCTCGCTGCTCGTCGGGACGACGAGGCGTGGCAGTGACACGAGCGTTTCGGGCACCTTCACTTCGAGGCCCCTGGCGGCTCGGTTACCACGGAGATGGTGCGAGGCCCGCCGTGTGCCGACCAGGTGGAGCAGCTCTGCGACGTCTGCGTGTTGACGAAGCAGAGGCGACTCCCCTTTCCCCAGCGGGCGAGCTTTCGAGCCAAGGAGAGGCTCGAGCTTGTGCACGGGGACTTGTGTGGCCCGGTGACACCGACCACACCGAGAAGACGACGCTACTTCCTGCTGCTCGTCGACGACCTCTCCCGCTACATGTGGGTGATGGTCCTCGGCAGCAAGGGAGAGGCTGCGGACGCCATCAGGTAGCCTTGCAGTCGCTGAGCTGCGGAGGCGGAGTGCGGCAGCATATCGTGTCCGCGCTTGCGACAACGGCGGCGAATTCACAGCCGCTAAGTTCGCGTCGTCTGCATCACCGATGAGGGGCATTCAATAGCCACTACTCCGCTACCAGACAAAACCCACAAAGAAACGCGCGCGTCGCCGAGCGGCGCAACCAGACGGTTGTGGGGATGGCTCGGGCCCTTCTCAAGCGAGAGGGATGTCGGCCGTCTTCGGGAGAGGCGGTGGTGTCGGCCGTCTACATTCTCAACCGCCGCCTACCAAAGGCGCTCGACGGCGGACGCCGTCGACGAGGCTTGGCATGGGCGCAAGCCGGCGGTCTCCCATTTGCGGGTCTTCGGCTGCCTCGCGTTCGCCAAGGAGCTTAGCCACATCGGCAAGCTCGACGCGAGAGCACTCGGGAGTGTTCATCGGCTCACGCGGAGGGCTCGAGGGCCTACCGCATCCTCGACCAAGACACGCTGCAGCGCGCAGCGTGCCGACGCCAGGTTCGACGAAGCGCGAGGATGGGCGTGGGACAAGCGGTGGACGACGGCTCGGCTCCGACGTCGACGACTTCACCGTCGAAAGCACGTCCACTTCGAGGAGCTGGGGAGTAGGCGGCTCTTCTTCGGCGAGCGCGTCTACCCAGGTCCCCCGAGAGCCTCCACCGACCTCGGCGCTGCTACTCCTCGGCAAAGACCACGCTCTCCACCAGACCTCACGCGATGAGTCGCCGCCACGCTCCACCACAACGCAAGCAACGCCACGCACTCTAGCACCGACATGCACTTCTCCGGGCACGTCTACTCCAACACCAGCTCGTGTCGAGCATAGCCCGGTTGAGCTCGCTACTCTGCCCTCTCACGACGAGGAGCGCATCGACGCGTACGTGGTACCGTACGATGGAGAACCTTCTCGGCGACCAGTCGGTGCCGGGACTGGTGCCTCACGACCTGGAGGACCTGGAGGCGCAGTTGCATCTTGCATGTGACGGCACGGCGAGCCTCGATGCGTCACGAGAGGCGAGAGACGCGGCATGGCGCGCCGCGATGCAATTGGAGATGGATGCGGTTGAGAAGAACCGCACCTGGGAGCTTGCTGACCTTTCTCGTGGTCATCGCGCGATCACCCTTAAGTGGGTGTACAAGCTGAAGAGGGATGAAGCCGGCGCCATCGTCAAGCACAAGGCTCGCTTGGTGGCACGAGGTTTCGTGCAAAGGCGGAGGGGGTCGACTTCGACGACGCTTTGCTCCCGTCACGGATGGAGTCCGTCGACTCCTCTTGCGCTTAGCCGCCCGGGAGGGCTGGGCGTGTTCATCACATGGACGTCAAGTCGGCGTTCCTTAACGGCGACTTGAAGGAGGAGGTCTCGTGCACCGGCCGCCGGATTTGCGATCCCGGCAAGGAGGGCAGGTGTTCGCTTTCGCGCAAAGGCCCTCTATGGCTTGCGTCGAGCACCGAGGGCGTGGAATGCCAAGTTGGATTCCACGCTAAAGGGATGGGCTTGAGCAAAGCCCGCGACGAGGCGGCCATCTACCGACGGGCAGGCGGTGGAGGAAATGCTCACGGTGGGTGTCTACGTCGACGACTTGATGATCATCGGCACCAAGGATGCGGAGGTGGCGGCATTCAAGGAAGAGATGAAGGCCACCTTCCGGATGAGTGACCAGGGCCTCTCTCCTTCTACCGAGAATCGAGGTGCACCAGATGACTCCGGATCACGCTTGACAGACCGCCTCGCCAAGCGCCGTCGTTGAGCTAGCCGGGCTCACCGATCGCAATCCAGCTCTCACTCCGATGGAGGAGAGGTCAAGGTCGAGCCGCGACAAGACAACGGAGGAGGTGGACGCTTCGCAGCATCGCGGCGTCTTGTGGGGAGCCTTCGCTACCTCGCCCACACACGGCCGGACTTGGCATTCTCCGTCGGCTCGTTAGTCGGTTCATGCAAATGACCGACGACGGAGCACCATGAGGGTCAGAAGAGGATCATCCGCTACGTTATGGGGACTCTCGACCACGGCCTCTACTACCCTAGGTGCCCCAGGGTAGCACACTTCGTCGGCATGCGGACAATGACCACACCGGCGACATCGACACCAGCAAGAGCACGAGCGGGATTCTTTTCTTCCTCGGCAAGTGCCTCGTTAGCTGGTAGTCGGTCAAGCTGCAGGCGGTGACCCTGTCCAGCTGCGAGGCCGAGTACATAGCGGCCTCCACCGCTTCGACTCAGGCGCTCTGGCTCGCTCGACTGCTTGGTGATCTCCTCGGCAGAGACACTAGAGCGGTGGAGCTCAGGGTGGACAGTAAGTCCGCTCTGGCCCTGGCAAAGAACCCCGTTTTCCATGAACGCAACAAGCACATCCGGATGAGGTACCACTTCATCCGAGGTTGTTTGGAGGAAGGGAGCATCAAGGCGAGCTACATCAACACCAAGGACCAGCTTGCGGACCTGCTCACCAAGCCCCTTTGGAGGATCAAGTTCCTTAAGCTCTGCTCCAGGACGGGGATGGTTCAACTTTCCCACAAGACGGCGCACAAGACTTTGGGGGAGAATGATGGGATAAGTCTCATGTGCTAGTCTTTGTGGGGCTGTGCTGGTCACATGGTCTTTGTGGTTGCATGGTCTGTTTTTAGGACAACATAGGACAACATCTTAGAGGACAACATCTTAGCATTTAGGACAGCATCTTAGACTAGCATCTTGGCATATGCTTGGCTGGCTAGTAGCCTATAAATATATACCCCCAACCCCTCAGGTTGGTATGGCATTTGTGTGAGAAATAAACCAGAAAATTGCCCCAACTCCTAGTGTCATCCTCTCTCGATGAGAATAAGAATTCTGCTACTACCAAGAGTAAGAATTCAACGACTAACATTATGAACTTTTGAAATTGTGGTGGAGGACAAACATGGGTAGGAAGTAGGAACATTGAATTTGCTATTCTTGGTGCATCACGATTTTTTTCCCAGACAAGATTAGCTGCTGCTAATTGCTATCCTCTTGTTTCCCTTTTCTGCGAAATACTCTCCTCTCTAGTCCCTTTCAATGAACTCATGACTTGCAGGTGCTTCCATGTTCATTAGTCTTGTAGCAAACTACCAAACCCTTCTTTTTCAATTTTTGTTAAGCCCGCCCAGCTTCTGACATCTTAGAGTTGATTGTTGACACATCTCCTTTTTATCTGTGGCATACATACTGACATTTGCATGAATTCAATCTTTGGAGTGGTAATCTTGAGTCTGCCGTGGTAGTTATTATGCTTACTATCTTATGATGTTCCAGTGGCAGAGTCGGTTGGACATGTTACTTTCCACATGCCATGGAAGAGTTCAAGAGTAGTTTTGCTACTAACACATTGACTTTTAGCATAGCCTATTGATCTTAACTTCTCAAACAGATTCAAAGACCTTGAAGGAGGAACAAAGAGAGGAGCTATTTGAAAGTTTAAAGGTCAATAGCTCTATTGGGTGGGAAGTGGATGTCATATGCCCAAAGGATCTATCTGCTAAAATGTTAAAAAAGTATGTCCAGCCTTTTGACCTATTAGACTGCAAACTTGCATTCTTATCTTCATTAATAGTCTCATTGTTTCAGGTCAAAAGTTAATCTGAATGAAATATCACATAACTCTGCCATGGGCCTTGTTAGGAAAGTGATTGACATGGGAGTTCTACTGGCAGAAGTAAGAGCATGTGTTCTTGAGTTCAAAAGGAATTTTTTGTGCGGGCATGTGGCTTTCCCTGTAAGATTATTCACTGCATTTTTTAGTAATTATATTCCTCCTTGAAAAGGTATATATAGATACAGTGGGAGATCCTGAAAAGTATAGGATCAAGCTGACAGAAAAGTTTCCAGGAATCAAATTTGTGGTCGCCAAAAAGGCTGATAGCCTTTACCCTGTTGTTAGTGGAGCAAGTATAGTTGCAAAGGTAATTTCTTGAATCAAATTTCCTTGTGTAGGTGCTTTCTTATAAGCTTGCGCAGTTGTAAAGTTGTGATATGCAACTGCAGGTCACTAGGGACAGAGCCTTGCGAAACTGGGTGTTTGATGAAACAGCTCTGAATATGCACATGAAGACCGGATCAGGATATCCAGGAGGTAACTGATTCCTCATTATAAATGATTTTATCAAACTCTATTCATATGACACTGTCTCGTTAAAGAACATCCAAATTAATGGTGCAGACCCTGATACTAAGCAATGGTTAGAAGATCACAAGCATCCGGTGTTTGGCTTCCCAACTTTAGTTCGTTTTAGCTGGGGAACTTGCACGCCCTTCTTCAAGGATGCAGTTGAGGTTACATGGTGTGTTCAGATGTTCAACCTTTATTATGCTTCCGTGCTTTCTATTCTTGAACTAATTTCGTCAGTGTGTTTTGTGAACTGCAAAGCATTGATTCTGATTCCTAACTAGTATGATTTTGCCACATGGTATATGATATAAAGGGAGTCTGATGAAGTTGACGAAGATGGGACTGGCAATGGAAGCACCAAGCGACAGGTCAAGCTCTCAAGCCTAGGCTTTACTGGCTTCAAAAGGAAGACTGAGGATATCGAATCAAGCGGAAAAGGCCGCTGCAAATTCTTCCAGGCTCGCAAACTTGAGCTGGTCAGGAAGTTCCAGTGATGTGTGCTAATTTGGTAGTACTAATGTTTGTTGTAGAAACTAGAGCGTACGACTTTGGAGCCTGATTTTTGGTATCTGATTTGAAACTGGTAGGAATTGTTTGTTGAGATTGGAATGGAAGATGATGGTTTCCCCCCATTGCTACCTCTGCCTTTGCAGATGTACAGATATTTTACGTCTTCACATTCAGTACGTAGCATCCAAGTATCCAACAGATCTTCTCATCCTCGTCAGCACTTGTTGCCTTGTTGGTATAATAATAAATATAGACTGGATGAACCAGCAGATGTTCATCCCTTTCTCAGTTTCTTGGATGCCTGCTTCAGGGCTGGCCTTTCGCCCTCGGTTTTAAAATTGCATGCTTCCCAATCCCCGCATGATCTCATCTTGCGCCTGTGTACATGAGTATTATAGAGATATGTGTCCAGTGATCCACCCAATCATACGCTGCATAAAACAATTCAGACCAGACGCCTCATCTCATCATTCAGCCATCATGTACGTACGCCCAACCAAGCACCATCCCTATCCTTTTCCAGAAGAAAACTGTAACTCTTTACAGAACAATTCCCTGTAATAACAGTTGAGCTTCAGCAGACACGGCTACCAGGTAACTTGTATTAACAGCAAACTAATTACTTAACCAGGTAATTTACTGGCAGTAAACCTGTCGGTGCCGTACATCATTAGGGAACGGAAAGTTTTTACTTGGTCACGCGGCTGCCGTCCGTGCCATGCTCGAGCACAAAAAGGTTTGCCCGTACGCGTACTGCTACTCGGTCGAAAAAGCGAGAAGTGAAGAGGTGGCGAAGCTAGCTGGCGCGCTCGCCGGCCGGGCGGGGGCACGTGGCGCCGTCGGTGAAGGTGGCACCGCACGCCGCCGTACCGATCGGGGGCGCCGGGAAAAGGATCTTCACGTTCCAGCCATGAGCCATGAGCCATGAGCCATGGCTGTCTCTGGCTGATCCCCCGGTGGCCTATATATATTTTTTATCAGGCGTCAGGCGTGCACGCACGGCGCCTTCCACGCGGGCCAACAGCTGTGTGGTTAAAGCATATGTGGTCGCTTGACTGATGAGTGATGACGACTACTATGCCTTTTTGGCGCCCTGTCTTTGTGCAATACTCTCTGCTAATCTTTGCTGATGCAGATGCTCCCGTCGCCGTCGACCGTCGTAGTCTTGTTATTACAATGTGAAATACCAGAAGCTGCAAAAGCACAGTTGTTTCAGACTTTTGCCCTGTTCGGCAGAACTTATTGCTGATGCGGTAGGGCCGATTTGTCGTGAGAGAAAAATACTGTTTCCATGACTGAAAAATAGGGTTGATTCTGACTGATAAACTCAAGCAAACAGGGCATTTGGTTCCGTATGTTTCCATGGCTGAAAAATAGGGTTGATTCTGGCTGATAAGCTCAAGCGAAAAGGGCATTTGGTTCCGTCTGAAGAAACTGCTCTGAAAACTCAGCTCAGAGATGTTTGCTGCAGACTATGTGGTCAGATAAAAGGTCCGTCCGCCGTTACGCGGTCATCACACAGCCTGATGACTGATTAAAAAAACTACCGACCATCCATCGTTATAACTTATAAGGCTCTCTTTTTTTCCTTTCCGTGTGTAAACTTTCCATCGAAGGTGGTGCACTGGTGCTACCTGCCACTGGGCACTGACATCTTCCCTTCCCTCCTAGGATCCAGTCCTGTCAACGCCGATCCCAATGCGAATAATGCACGGCGGCACTTCCAGATCGATCGAGTGTCATCTCAGGGTACGTACGCCTCACTGAACTTGCAGAGCTCCTCTTCATCTTATTCGGTGGCTCAGTGTTAGGCCTCGTTGAGATTGTAAATTTTTGCAATCCGGACACTGTAGCACATTTCGTTTGTATTTAACAAACTTTGTCTGATTATGGATTAACTAGGCTCAAAAGATTCGTCTCGTGATTTACAATCAAACTGTGTAATTAGTTATTTTTTTTACCTATATTTAATGCTCCATGCATGCGTCCTGAAGAGAGAGTGAAAAAACTTGGAATTTTGAGGTAATCTAAACAAGGCCTTAGTGCTAATCGAAATTTTTAACTGCCATCAACTTGCATTGCACCTTACAGCCGAGTGCACAAGGAGCGCACGGGTAGAGGTCGAGGGCGACGCAGCCTTGATGATCGCTGGGATAATCCAAGAGAACGCAGGCTGTAGAACGAGCCGCGAGTTTATGCGGGGCGGTAGCTGCTTGATTGGGGATAACCCAATCGACGCCAAAGGGAAGCTTGCCGCCGAAGATGGCGATCCTGTCGACGACGCCAAAGCTTACCGCAGCCTGGCCGGGGCGTTACAGTACCTCACCATTACACGCCCCGACCTCCTTTCGCGGTGCAACAAGCCTGCCTCCACATGCATGCTCACCGTGGGCCTCACTTGGCGCTGCTCAAGAGGATCTTGCGATATGTCCGCGGCACAAGCACCATGGGCCTCTGTCTGCGCGCCTCGCCGGAGCTCGCGGTGACCGCGTACTCTGACGCGGACTGGGCCGGCTGCCCCGACACACGGGTCTCGAGATCGAGCGCGGAGGCGGAGTACAGGGCTATGACCAACGCAGCCGCCGAATGCATATGGCTGTGCCAACTCCTCGGCGAGCTGCACTGCGGCGTCAACAAGGCCACGGTTGCGTACTGCGACAATGTCTCTGCGGTCTACATGTCCGCGAACCCGGTGCACCACAAGAGGACGAAGCATATTGAGCTGGACATTCACTATGTCCGCGAACGCGTTCAAGTGGGTGATCTCCGCATTCTTCATGTGCCAACTGGAGAACAATTCGCCGACGTAATGACCAAAGGTCTGCCCACCTCAACGTTTGCAAGCCTTCAGATCCAGTCTGTGCGTCGTACCGATGAAGACGAGTGGCTGACGAAGCATCAGACTGCGGGGGGTGTTGAGAACCAGTCGGTCTAGTCTAGGTAGTTAGCGGCCAGGCGCGGTGACCACGGCGTCGCCCACGACCTCTACTCGTGCGCTCCTTGTGCACTCGGCTGTAAGGTGTATATAAGCAACGTTGAGATGCAATACAATAGTTGTTGGCCATATTCATTCTCTCTACACACCCGACGAACACGGGCGCTGGCGCGCTGCAGTTAACCTGCTCCACCACTCCTGCACTTTTTTGCTTGCCGGAGGATCCTGCACTTCAGAATCCAGATCGTCTCGCTCCTTGTTTATTCAGGATTTCAGATGGCACGGGGCATACACACACGCCAGGGCCACGTTCCAAAACTACACCATCTCTGACTTGACTTGCAGTTTTTTTCTTCTTCTTCTTCTTCTCCGGTTCAAAACGGTCCCTTGCCTGCGTAATAATTAGGCCGATTTCCATCTCGTCCAAGACTCAGAAATCTGAATCGTGTCAGTGGGATGCAGACTTCCTAATTGTACTCTTTGGCTTCTGTTTGATGGAGTTGCTGACCTGCAAAAGCACGTATGAACATGAGAACATCTCGGTCATGTACGCATTCACAGAGCCATGCAATTCAAATGCGTGCAGTGGACCACTGTCCATGGGAACAAAACTAGGGCCGGTGAAAGCGAAATGATGGAAACACCATGATTCCACGAAGCATGAACCTATGCAATTAGTTATTTTTAATATATATTTAATAATTCATGCATATATCCAAATATCCGATGTGATAGGAACTATAGTGAGAGGAGGAACTGACACGTCCATCGAGATTCGTGAGTGACTGCCATCCATATTCGTCCTTCCTAGGATCCATTCCCCTGTCACCGCGACGCCGATCCCTATGCGAGTGCACGACGACACTGGCATACTGGCAGTGGCGGAGTGGCAGGCTGTCACTGAACCTGCTGCCGCTGCTGGGCTCCTCCTCAGTCAGTCAGTGCTAATCAGACAGGGTAGCAGTGGAAATCTTTGGTTCTTTACGGCTTTACCTGCGGTTATCAACTTGCACCCGGCGCGGCGATGCATTTGCAGGCAAGAAAGATAACATCCACCAGTCCTGCCTGCGTGTTCGTTGGCGTGGCCGGAGGATCCTGCAGAAACAGAACAGATCGTACCCCTCCTTGTTTATTCACCCGGCACGTTGCTCTGCGGTAGTCTATCTATTGCTGTTCCAAAAGTGCCTCAAGTAGTCAAGTGTGTCTGAACTCTGAAGAATACTGCCTGAACCTCCGGCTATATATATTTTTTAACCGAGTTCAAACCGGTCCCTGCTAATAAGTAACTAAGTATTATGACCAAAGTTCAAAAACTGGATCATGCCGGCCGGTGCCATGCTGATTTCCTGATCCCTTCACTGCTTCAAATCTCAGCATCTCACTGCCAATGAGAAAATACGACGAAGTGTAAACCCAATTAAGGCCTAGTTAACTAACGACTGGATTACAGCAGAACGCCCCTAATTTTCTACTGCTACTTAGATAGATTAGATTAGAATAGAATCAAGGGGAAGGAAGAAACTTCGACAGGTAAAAAGCAAGTGAACGCAACAGCAACCACAACCAGCATATGTAGAGTGTTTTCCGCACGTCACGTGCCTCCGTCACGTGATCCATCGCCCTCCCCTGCAGAAAGGAACGTGAACAGCAGTTTAAAAAACCTCTGTATACCAGTCAGTACTTGAGTCCAACTAACCCCGGTATTAGGCCAAGGGTTCAGTAGTGCAGTCAAACAGCCTGTTCACTAGTTGGTTTCTGGACTGATAAGCCTGGCTGATGCTGGTTTATTGTGACAGAAAAATACTATACCATGGCTGATAAGACCTGACTGAAACCAACAAGCGAACATGTTGAAAGATGCAGCACATGACACCCAGTTGGGAAGATGCAGAAAAACAAGCAGCACATGAATGTCTCTGCGGCACTGGTGCCCTAGTAGTGATTAATACTGTATATATCTTGGTTATTGTAGCGCCGCTCGCTAGTCGCTAAGCAAGATAGGAGGTGTGGTGGTGATTAGAGTATCTGACACTAAGCGAAACACGCTGC